AATTAAGTGACAGTTTGTCTTTTTTTGAGCACTTAAAAATAAAAATAAAAATCATAAAAATTGATAAAAATGAAAGTTTAATGGCACAGCTGACCTAACATCACTTACTGGAAGGGGAATTTTATTCTGGTATGATAAACCATTTGTATTTTGGGGTTTGATTGAATCATAGGTATGTAAAAAGGAAAACATGAGACTGAGAATATTGTATATTGTAGACCAGGCACCTGTTACAGCCCACCCATGGCTGTTTTCCTCCATGCCATTCCCCCTGTGACTGCTTCTTTAACTGTCCAAACATGAGCTCCAAAAGTTTCTATTCAATCTGACATGGGGTCATCTGCATAATTGTGTCCCTTTAATTTCATTTCTTGCTCGGATAGAGTGAGTTAGAGCACAATAAACTGTTTGCAGAGTTGTACCTTTTGGGGAGAAACTGCGTGTTATATAATCAGAGCTGAAATAATCAGTCTATCAACACACACAAAAACAACCAGGTTTAGAAAATTACTTCTTAAGTCATTTATCAAGCTAGCAAGCATTCTGGTTTTAGTCTCTTGAGTTTGATGATTTGTTGCTTTCTATATTTTATATCCATGCTAACTGAATATCCTTGGATATTGGGAAGTCAGAGCAAAAACAGAAAGATGAATCTTCTATGAATAAAACAGTCCTTAGTGGCAGCACTACATTGTATTATTATTTAATATATAATTGATCCAAAATAAACAAAAAGGTTACATTAAAAGTCCAAAACTTACTTGCAAAAAAACCAAAAAGACCAAGAGTCATGACATTGCTGTCCAGAACCCTGAGCTGAATATTGCACGCAGTATTAATATGAAATAATCTGTGTTAATTCAGGCAATGTGCCAAACTGTCGACCTTGATACCTGAGCTGCTGTGAGACTAGCTGATGAAACGACTGCGTATGCTTAGTATTCATGAGCTATGAGATCCACACAACCTGTGGCTTATGAGTTTCACTACCCCATATGGGACCCATCAAGCCCAATGAGCTGCCCTCAACAATGCCCAGCACAAGACAGAATAACAGATCAAAGACCCCCTGTAGTTATCAGACATTCAGCCAAACTAACAATTGATTATGAAAGCTGTGCATGAATAATTAGTAGGCAGGAGCATAAACCACCCAAGTACAGCCTGATGTTCATTTACTCTGATATTCAAAAAACAGAAATTATGTACTTTTTCGGCAGGTACAAGGATGGTGAGCCGCTGATCATATCTGACCAACCGTGGAATTACAATCTTCAACAAAAATTTGGTCTCAACACACTGGAGATCAGAAGGTGGGTCACTAGCTCAAATCTCTAATTAAGTCTGGAAAACTGGAATGAATGTGATGGAAGTGTGCAAGATAGGGCACGCAGCAGATTACTTGACCTTGCCACTGACAAATTAGGAATGGAATAAGAAACTGAAGCTACTTGTAGGTAAGATAAGGAAATTAAATGGTGGCGTTATGAGATAAAACGTGCCTGTTCAATTAAGAAATAAATGTGCGTGCTGTGTTGCAGGTTTTTTCTATTACCCAAATCCAGCACAAGAAAAGAGGTCACAGCTTTTTCAACATCTCTTGTGGCTTGAAATTCACCCACTTTCAGCTCTCACTCACAAACAGATGACATTCTATATCTTCTACAAAGGTGCTCTCCTGATGATGCTGGCGAGTACAAAGTGGTAGCCAAGAGTCTCCTGGGTGAAGCTGTGACCTTTGGAACGCTCGTGGTGAACTGTGAGTGGTTTCTTATTTCATCTCAAGTCAGCTTTGCTCAAAAACCAGTAGCAAAGATGGATTACAGTACAACTGCCCCCAAAAGACTGAAGAGTCTAGTTTCAGTCAGGCTGGCAATGAGACACTGACACAGTAAATTATTTGACTTAGTTTGAACATTTTTCAAACTTGGTTTACACAACTTTTACCTCTTTTGTTGTTAGTTTATCTTTTCCCATTTTCAAATAAAACCTGAGTTCTGGCTTCCTGAGTGCAATTCCTTCGAGATCATACATCGGAAGCATGAAAAAATGAACTTTAGATCTCACACTTCTAACATTTTCAAACTTCCTTATTTTCCCCATAAACATACTTTTCATACACTCAGTGGAAAAGTTTAACCCTCTCTGCTTTAATTATTCAACACAGATTCAACAAGATGCCAGAAATGGTCCATATTGACCTGATGGCATATGCAATTGTTGCAGATTTGTCGGCTGCAAATCAACGATGCAAATCTCTCTTTCCACCACATCCCAACCTCTACCGGATTGAGATTTAGTGACTGTGGAGGCCAACAGTTATGTTCAAGAAACTAGTTTGAGATGATCCGAGTTTTGCGACATTATGTGTTAATCTGCTGTAAGCAGTCATCAGATGATGGATACATGTGGTCATGTTGAGTTGGACACAATGCTCAGGTAGGCTGTGGTGTTTAAACAACGCTCAGCTACTACTAAAGGGTCTAAAGTGTGCCAATAAAATATCCCCCACAGCATCACACCTCTATCCCCAGCTAGAAACACTGATGTAAGGCAGGATGGATTTATGCCTTCACCTTTTATGCCAAATTCTGTCCCTAACATCTGAATGCTGTCTACACATAACAGACAAGTTACCAAAGAACCGATTTTAAATTAAATTTTTAAGCTAGTACCTCGAGTTAGATACAGTATTTTGGCACCTACAAGGTGATTCAGAAAGAGGTATTAGCTGAAAACGTCTCACCGTGGTATGCAGGATACCCATAAAAACATTGGGGAAACTGGAGAAGTGTGGTCAAAGCAAAAGAAGAACACCACCTAAAACATCTTAAAAAATATTTACAGCAAAAAATAAAAAAAACAAAAACAAAACCATAACCTGAAAGAAATATCCTTATAAAGGATTAATTATGAAACCACGATGCACGAGTCAAGACCACTGACATGGAAATCCTAGCACTTTAAGAACATCTTAATTAAATTAATCGTAAGCAATATAAAGTAAATTTACTCACCATCATTTGCAGTCATTGTTGGAGGGCATTCTTCAATCATTTTTGCTCTTATGGGCAAGTTCACAAAATCAGCAGGTTAGGATATCTGGCTTTTTAGCACCTGTGCACAAATATGATGCGGTTTCTGCCTTGAAGATGGTGTTATATCCCGGCCTGTTGGTGTCCGTGAACCATCGTTTGCACAAACAGCCTGTAGAAACAAGTGTCTCAACTGCAGCCTGTCCAACTGTCAGCCATGCACCTGTTAGTTTGACAAGTAGAATAAAAGTAGTAAGTGAAACTGATTTTTTAAAATATTTTTTTACCTTGTTTAACTTTAACTTTATTTTCAGATAGAAGAAGAACCGCCCCTGACATCCCAGGTGGTTTGGCTAGCCACTGAGAAACTAGAGAAGAAGACGATATTGTGTTTAACTAAAATAAAGTTCAAACGTTAAATTTAACCAGCACCTCAAGCTTCCATGAATATTTACTTAAACCTCCTTTTACATTGCACCGTGAATGTAGCGCTGGGTTTTTCCTTACAGGCATGTTTTTCTTCATTAGTCCATTTACAGCTAACGTAAATGCATATTTTGAAATCCTGCTATGACAAATAAAGCATTTCATTTATTTTTTTTGCTTTATGTTGTTGCACAGATGATCATTAAGGTGCCCAGGGTGCAGATGCTATGCTGGCTAAATTTGACCAAATGTTTGTATCTCCATCCTCCTAATGCCTCGGGTCTCCACGGTGCAGTTTTCTGTCCTCATTATCTGAGTTTCTATGTAAATTTGGTGTTTGTAAGAGAACCGGCATCAACGGAAATGATCAGAAAAACAGGTCCCGTTGCAGTGCTCATGCATAATAAATTAAAATGAGACAGTGGGTGTAGCAGTGACTAATAACATCTACAGTGAGCTATACTGCCTCGCAGCAGTGTTACAGAAACTATTTATTTTTTTATATATTTTTTTATTACCTTGACCTACCTGCCCTTTTATGAAAAGGCTTCACTTTCTGAATGCTCGAGCTCACTTTAATGAGACACTTCAAGGCTTCTTCTACATTTCACAGGTATTCTTCAGGCTTTAACACAGCCTTAGGTTAAAGGGAATATTAGATGTGACTTGCATAAATGTGGCATTGCCAGGTTTGATTTGCCTTCTGCTTTATCTTTTCTTTCTTTCTTTCTTTTTTTAAACATGTTTCTTCTTCAGTCTCACAGTATCATTCACTGCTTTTCTCTCTGTTGCTGACCCTGCCTGCCACTCTCCAATCTGTCCCGCTCTGCCGCCCTGCGATTCAGCATATCAAGGAGCCGTGGCTGGCTCAGAGTGCTCGCAGACCTCCGGTAAGTTTCACACCAGGGCCTAATGAAAAGTGTCCCCTTTCATTTTCTCTGCCACCCTTTGAAGTTCCTCCCTCCACCAGTAAACGAGGGCAGGCTGAGTGACTTTGAAGACTGTGACACAACGTTTGGCTCTGCTGTGCATGTGGCACCTCTTAGAGAAAGACATGGGAGGATTGAAAGGGAGCTGCACACTGATGCTGTTTGGATATCACGGGAATTTATGTTTCTGTGTGGGTGTTCATAGATGTACAGGCATAAGTAAGACTATTTGTGGGGTAGTTACTGAAGGGATAAAACGACTTGCTTCCAAGTGAGCAGAAACGACAGTCATGTATATTTCATTCCAGGGACAGCGGGAGATTTATCCCACTTCGCTTCAAGCTGCGGAGCACCTCATACTAGCTGTGGCAGTCTGTGGCCTAGATTAGCTTCTGCCATGTGTGGGGTTCAGGACTTTTTAAACTAGAACTACATCATTTATATACATATATATGCTCGCAATCTGATCAAGCCAAAGAAGCGGTTTTGCCAGGAACAGCTATCTGACATAGACATGTTTATCTTACAAGGACCTCTAGTTTTTGTATAAAACATGACATCCTGGAAAGTATATACACTTTTAGACTTTTATATTAAACTAGTTAATGTCCCTTCAACTTCACCTTGTTTTTTTAATTTATTTTTATTACTATTTTCACAAATTACCATCTTCCTCCAACCTTTTCCAAGAAGCTTTAGTGCCCAGATTTAACTTAACACTTATATAAATGACTTTTGCAAACATAACCCAGTCACAGGTGGCCACAACCTTGTGTACCCCTAATGCTGGTCCCAAGCCCAGAAAAATTGAGACAGTTGCACCAGGATAGGCAGAACTTTTGCCAAATCAAGCAGGTCATCATGAATGAGACTTCTATAATGGTTTGGAGACTGAAGGTGGAGCTGGAGGTAGCAGAGTTTATCATGTTAGAATTTTCATTGGGAGTGAGCAGGATAAAGAGACAAGGGTGATGTGGTTTGGAAACATACTGGGCAATGGACATTGGATTTGGAAGACCACAGACAAGATTTATGGATGTAGAGGAGGACCTGCAGAGCGGTTGGTGTGAGGATGATGAGGGGGCTAGGGTGATAGAGCAGCCAAAAGAAATTTTAGAAACATAATATCCACTTGTAGTCTGACACATTTTCAATGAAGCAACAACCATAATGGGTCATGTTGTGTATATATCTTTTATGATTCATATTAGGGATGTGAATGTGGGTTATTTTACCCATCAGTTTTATTGCTTGACTGCAGGGCACAAGCAATCAAGCTTTACTGTCTAGCTACCCTGATGTGCCACAACATTCAAATTGCTTAATAGAGATGTGAATAACATTGATCATCTTGGTACCATACAGTGTCCTGCTGGGAAATTTTGGTCCTGGTATTCATGTGGATTTTACTTTGTTATGTATATAATATATATACACACTTGCCAAGCCTAAAAGAAAAATCCCAAAAGAAGAAGGCTCAAACATATGCTTCGGTGGTGGTGGTGGTTGTTGGTTGTGGTTTGTGTTTGGTGAGAATGTTCGAAGTGTTGTAAATAAAGACAAAAGCTCCCTTAGTTTTGCTCGGAGCTGTTACATAAAGTGAATGAGGGAAATATCGAGTCCTAGAGTGTTTTGTTGTTGCCCCCCACGGGCCTCCCAATGGTTACCAAGGGCTCTCGTTGGCCTGCAGGCCACACTTTGAAAACCCTGCTTGTAATCCACAGGACCCAAGGATACCAGTCTCAGACAGTAAAGCCCTGTGACCATTTCTCAACAAGCTGGATTGTTTTGATAAGAGTTATTTTAATATTGTGACCTGTGTATGCATGCACTGTTAAAAATTTACTGCTAGTCAACTCTGTCCATTGTCATCATCTTGCGCAGATGTTGCGTGTTTCTTGTCAGGTTTGACAGATTTCTTATACTGACTGTGCAAATGTGCGCGTTTCTAAAGGAAGCAAGGTTTCTATTGAAAGTGTGCTGATTTTTAATTTAATTTATCTTAAAGGGATTTTAAAGACATGGCAAAACTGGAAAAGTAAAGTCAGGAGCAATATCATTTATGTATGTATTACACTATTGCTTCTGAGGAATGACCATGTAGGTGCGAGACAATCCAATATTTTCCCTACACACACAGATATTAAGTGGCAATCATGTTGAATGAAGCTTTATCAGCTTGTAATGGCATCAGGGGCTGCTTGCTAGGAGAATGTGCTGAAGAATTGCATGCTGCTATTTTTTTGTAACTGATACTTGATTATCTCATATGGAGCTGATTGTATTTTCCAAAACAAATCACTCAAACTAAAGCGTGACTGCGGTAAATTTATCATAACATCAGTGCACTGAGGGAAATGCAGGATTTGAATGATGGGAAGCAAACATCTTTGCGGTGTGTTTCAATAATTCTACGCACACTGCTGTGATAGCCCGGACTTCTAAGCAGAACAAGATCATTATGAGAAGCATGTCACAATCTTTCAGATTAATCCCTGAGAATGGGATTTGACGAGACCTCATGGCACAGATATCTTGCACGTCCGGATTGTATTGCTTTGCTGTTTTTGACGAGGCAGAGAATGACAGGCAGCTAAATTAATAACTTGTCAGGAACTGTTCACTTAAAAACAAAGAGTGCCATCTGCAGCTTTTCTGCTGTCCTGTGACGTTTCCCCCGGGGAATTCTCTTATAGCTGCTGTGTGTGTCTGTGCTTGGATAAAGCAGTTGGTCTTTTTCTAGTCTGTATTAGATGGTCTTTTTAGGCATTTCTGTCTCTATCACCTGTGTGTTCTTACTCCTGCTCCATTCCTCCCATCTATTCTAGCCTTACAGCTTCAACAGGAAGCTCGGTTTGGCACCTCCTTTCCCCCGACCTGGGTGAAAGAGGGTGACACCCTTACCCTGGAGTGTACGTTCACCTCAGCTCTGCTCCTCTTCCAGAAGGATGTCAGCTGGTTTAGGGATGGTAAGTGTTGCAAATACAAAGTAATTAAGTAAGTAAGATTTATTTATATTGCATTTTTAAAGAACAAAGTTCACAAAGAGCTTTGCAGAAGAGAATAATACACAACAATTAAAACTAAATCAAGGCAAGCCTGCACAAGCTGGTCTTAAGTTTCTTTTAAAAATGTGTTAACACAGATCTTAGGTCCAGAGAAAGCACAGATCTAGGGCTCTACGGACAGCCATCACGCAAGGATCAGCAGATTTCAGAGATCTAGAAGTTATATATGGCTGTAGTAGCTCACTGATGTATGGAGGCAACTGACGATGGAGGGCTCTAATCACCAAAGGTTTAGGACCTTTTAGACGCCCTGGTGAGAAGCCTCATAGCAGCATTTTGGATAATCTGCAAGCGATCTGGGGATGATTTACTTAGAGCAAATCATCCCAAAGGTCCAAGATTTTAATTACCTTTGGGAACAAAGATGTCAGGTCCACAGATCATAACTTCAGTTTTTGTGTATTAAGAAACAGATAATAGGATACCATTTAGTCCTTTATAATATGAATGCAGTCTTGAACAACAGATAATTTGGTCACATTCTGGGGTTTCAAAGACAAGTACAATGAAATATCAGCCGTATAACAATAGTATGAAATGTCTTCAAAGTTATTCAGGATGTGTCCAAGTGGGAGCAAACAGGATAGGTCCCAGGACTGAACCTTGTGGCACACCACGGGATAAAGCAGCAGGAGGGGACACAAAATTAGCAAAAGCAAGTGTAACACTCCAGTGAGAGGGATGGGAAGAAAATAAGTCAAAATGCCCACCCACGTTCTAAATCTCTTAATCAGGGTACTACGATTAACTGTGTCAAAGCAGCTGACAGACGCAAGAGTATAAGGATTGAATAGTTATCTGCATTTCATCTCATTTTATGTGTTAAAATTTCATTTGAATTTCAGTAGAGTGAATCTGGCTGAAAGTTATCTAAAATATTGTGAACAGTTCAAACTTCTGGTAGTTGGTTGGCCACCACTTTTTATAATGTTTTGGACATGAAGGCAGAGGGTGAATAATGGCCTCATTAAAATATGAAGGGACACAGCCAGAAGTTAAAGCATTAATTACCTCGAGTCTAGTGGCGTGAAAGACCTTTTTGAACAGTGAAGTGTTCAGTGAAGTAATTCATCATAAAAGCATTATTCTTTACTTTTTAGCTTGCTTTTTCTATTTTCCAGGTGTACAACTGCATCAATCCAGCAATGTGGAGATTAAAACATTTGACACCAAGGCCGTCATCACCTTAAGGGCTGCACACAAGGAGCATGAAGGTCTTTATGCTGCAAGACTGAGAACCACAGATGGAATCCAAGAGCACAGCGCTTTTGTCTATCTCACAGGTGAAACCAAAATGAAATACTCTACTTAAGAATGTTAGCCTACACTCACAATTTATCAATGCATTAGAGTCCAAAGATTAATTGATCTAATATAAATACTGAAGCTGGCTTTGGTGCTTTAAAATTATCCACTAATGTGAAAATATACCTCCACAGTCTCACTGAGAGAAAATTAAGACCACTTTTCATGTGCAAATGCTTAGCATAAACAAACAGCAAACCTTCAGATGCATTAGTTTAGCTTAAAGTTTAGAAACAATAGGAAACCCTCAGCTGGCTCTCAAAAGGATCATCATGATTATAAAAAAAAACAAAACAAACAACAACAACAACAACAACAACAAACCATTCATGTAGTCTTAAAAAACTGTCACGGGGGGTGGGCCGGTGTGTTTGAGGTGTGGACAAAAAATGCGGACACAAAAGAAAAATGCAGTATAACAAAAAGCGAGCCGTTTATATCTGGGCTGATGTCGAAACAAAAACAAAGCAATGCAAACTGGAGAAAAACTAACCTGAAACCTAAACGGGGAAAAACTAAAACATAAAAACTGACTTGAACACGGTCGGAACAGGATTCATGAAAAACTATGACGAGAGATAAATGGACTATGAACAGGCGAAAGGAAACTCTGTGACCAGATGTGTCTTGACCTGGTGAAGACAGAAGACATAAATACACTGAAGGGTAATGAGGGAAGTGGGTACACCTGAGGAAACACAGCTGACACAAATGAACCTGAATGCCACAGGGGACGTACAACTAAACACATTGAGCATGGAATGGACTACTCACAATAAAACAAGAAACATAACAGAATGTAGACATGACAACACGAGCTTGACAACGTGGAAACGCATACATGAAACACATGACAGACAGGGGAGAGGCGGAACACAAGGAGAGACGAAAGTACTGGCACAGCTACAATATAGAGGACAACACAGACTTACACCAAAGACAGGAAAAGACACATAAACTCAGAGACATGGATGAACCTAAACTAGAATAAAAACCAACTAAACTTTAACTAAATAATAACACAAGAGCTTCACATTATTTCAATATAACATAAGAAATTTCTTGACCATGTGCTTCTTTCCTTCTGACGTCTCTTTTATAACCACCAGTCACAGTCTTGTAATATCCCACATTTTTACCCGTTCACTGTTTTTACAAACACACCTAAGCAGAACATGCATCTGAAAACAGGGTGCTCTTCATTTGTTCCTTGAAGTGCCCAGCACTCTTGGTTATATTACAAATTTTGCAAACATTTTTCAAATCACTGTATGTGAATTCATTTTAAGCATATTTACCATCAATGGTCATTGTATTAATTACCTCTTGCTTGTGCTTGGTTGGACCCAATTTACTTTTAGAGCTGCTTCAATTTGTATTGGTATAGATTCAACAAAGTGCTGGAAGTGCTGTAAATCTCCCATTCCACTAAGTCTTGATGGTGCTCTATTGGATTGAAATCTGGTCACTGTGGAGGCCATCATGTCCTGCTGGAAGCAGCTATCATAAGATTATACAGGGTGGTCATAAAGGGATGGACATGGCCAGCAACAATAATGCAGGAGAGATCCATGATCTCATGTTGTTTACATCCAATTCTGACCTCTCTCATCTAAAAGCTGCAACAGAAAATTGAAACTAACGTTTTTCTCAGTCTTCTGTTGTTCAGATTTGGGGAGCCTGTTTGAACTGTTGCCTCGGTTTCTTGTCATAGCTGACAGCTCGAAGCAATCTGGTGGTTCTCCTCTGAACTTTGGAATCAGCGAGGCTTTTTCACCTAGATAGCTGCAACTCCCTGGATATTTTCTCTTTTTTTTTCAATTATTCTCTGTAAATTCTATAGATGTTGGCAAATCTCTGTAGATAAAACATTTTCTGAAATACTCAGACCAGCCCGTCTGATACAAACAACCATGGCACATTCAAAGTTAGCTTAAGCACTTTTCTTCTCTGTTCTAATGCTTGGTTTGAACTTTGGATTTCCTAGATGCATTGAGTTTCTGCCAAACTCAATGCATCAAACAAATGCAACAAAGTAGCATCTACAGTTTTCAAAAAAATCATTTCCAAATTTTATGTGATGGTAGATGCTAATAACAGATTCAACTGATTTCATTTTGGTGAAAATCGGGTGTAAACGTCAAATTTGCACCAAATTTGAAAATCAGTAAAAACTTTATATTATCCACAATTTTTTGTGGATCATCGTCAAACCTCACAACAATAGGCCTTGGGAACATGAGTACCTAGGTTGCCTAGGCATTACCTGCTTCTATTTACATAATAACATATATAGTGGTAACAGTTAATGCTTAACTAAGCAGATGATGAAATGTATGATCCGTTTTGCAGACACGTTGCTTTTTTTGAAGTACGTAGCTTGTTTTCAACGACTTCCTAAAGCCACTCATAGGCATTGTGCCACACTTGTAAGTGGGAGTCAGATCACATCAGAAACTCCTCAAATACTTAGTGTCTTCTTTGAAGAACTTGCCCAGCTGTCTTTCAAATTATACGCTTTGTTTGATGTGATGTTTTCAGTCCTCAGCAAAATGACAAATAATGACAAAGTGTGATCTTGTCACCTGTGCGTACAAAATATCTGTCTTTTGGAAAATATAATTGTCTTTTTTTACTTTTGAGTTCAGAGCAAACATTCCTCCAAACATTATTTGTATTCACCAGATTTTGGTTCTAGTTTCATTTCCTGTCAGCAAACTGATTCACACGGGGAAATTGCACCATCAATCAAAATATTTCTCTGTCGAGGGCTTGTTAACTTTGTTCGATGAAAGTATATATTTTTCATATGCTGCTTTCTTCTTTCGACATGCAAATAAACCAGAGAGTAGCTCACATTTGAGTCATCAGCTTGAAATCTAAGTAGCACTACGAGGAGGTTTGACACATGTGCAGTATGTGTTTTAAAGTCATTGTAGTGCTTGTTCATGTATGTATTCTACCTTAACTCCCACAGCGACAGCATGAAGTGCTCTGAATCATTCATGAGCTCCTGTGCACATACATCGATAACACATCTGAGCCCAAATAAACACACGTATACGGACACTTAATGCAAGGTAAATCTCTCTGCAATGCCCCTTTTAAAATCTCTACTTGGCTCACTCGCTCTCTGTTTTGTTTGGGAGCTCGTTTTTTTCACCAGAGCTGTAGGTACTAATTTTGGAATCAGGGAAGGTCTCTAAATGTGTGTTTTTTCCATCATTCAGCCGTCATATTAGCATTACAAATGGGGGGGGGTTTGCAATAAAAAACAAATAAGAAATGAAGGATGGGAAGGAGGGTGGCTGGTGGATGCGCATTTAAAAAGGAACGAGTTATGTTTCCTATTTAAATGTTGACTTAAGCCTTTTGTTAAAAAAAACCAATCTTTTCTCAGCATCAAGAAAAGGTTTGCAAACATGTCACTCTATGTTATTCAAGTCTGCTTTGAATTATTTCTTCAATTCTTTTTTGTCCTTTTCGCTATGTCTGTCTGTGTGTGTGTGTGTGTACATGTTTAGGCATCTTTGTGAGGACAGAAATTAGTTGCGGGGACCAGCAGTCACTTATGGGGACAAAATTCCCATCCCCACGAGTTTGAAGGCATTTTTGAGGGTCAAAATGGGGTTTTGGTGTCAAGGTTACAATTACGTACAATTACGGGTGTCAAACTCCAGGCATCGAGGGCTGGTGTCCTGCAGTTTTTAGATGTGTCCTTGATCCAATATAGCTGATTTAAATTGCTAAATGACCTCCTCAACATGTCTTAAAGTTCTTCAGAGGCCTGACAATGAATTAATCATTTGATTCAGGTGTGTTGACCCAGGATGAGATCTAAAACCTGTAGGCCACCCGCCCTCAAGGCCTGGAGTTCGACACCCCTGGGTAAGGGCTTCATGGTTAGGGTTGCGGTAAGCAGCGAGGGAAAGCATTATGTCAGATGCTGACAGATAAATGTCCTCACTAAGATATGAAAACGAGTGTGTGTGTGTGTGTGTGTGTGTGTGTCAAATTTGAGACGGCAGGAGATTTGAAATTTCAGAGATTAAAACACACTTGATCTGTTATAATATCAAAATCTAAAGCCAGAGTCTTGTTTGTGTTCAGAACAGCTTTTTCCATAACCAGCTTTGAGCATCAGTATCGTGGGATATATCAAGTTTAAGTAGCAAAACTTCACTAATGCAGGCTCTGTGATGTAGATCATCAGAAACAACGACTGCTACCGGAGAACTTTGATCTGTTTTCTGATCATTTGCTGGAGAAGACTTCAAAAGGGGCATTTTAGGTAAACTTTCCAGGGAGATCACCATGTGGGATAGGTGGCTGGTCAAAACAAGTTAGAGCTCATGGAAGGTCTTATTTGTACCTGTACGTTCTCTACCACCCCGTCTTTTAGCAATGATTCCTTCTTTGTCTAAACAATTTTCTAATAAACCATAACTTAACTGTCACTAATGGCTCTGAAATGGAAGAATTACATTTGTTCACATGTTCTTTTAAGTGGTTTGGATAAAAACTGGATCAAAGAACATCAGGTACTTGAGACGCTGTTTTTTTTTTTTATCTTTCCAATTTGAGAACACAGAATTTATTTTATATAGAATATCTCCTGGAGTAACTTAACATGTGGAGTGGCAACTATTGATTACTTTAAAATCATTGATAATCCTTTGGTCATTAGGAGAAACACACAATAGCAGGTCAACAAAGCAAAACTCATTTTTGATATTGTCGTCACCGGCAGGCGGGTGGCATGAATGCCCAACTTTGTGAACATGATCATTTGAGACTGACACAATGTAGGATTTTCAAATTGATGCCATAGGTGCACCTACTAAAAATTTTGGACAGGAATCTCAGTGATGTTGACCTCAAGGTCAGAGGTCAAGTTTTCTGAAAATCTTGCAGACATGAAAACTTAAGAAACCCAGGATTGGTGGCCTTTTTTTTTACTTTCAGGCTTATATGTTTGAATCAATTGCATGAACTAGATTGCTATAGATCCTATAATTAAACTTTCCAATTCCTTTTCCCCTTGCTTTTACACATCTCCTCCTCCTTTGGCTCACTATCTTTCTCCTACTTTGTTTGTTGGAAAAACAAACCCTGTGTTTCCACAGTAAACGATTTAGTTGAGTGCTAAACTGGAAATGCAATAAATATATTCCAAGTAATGTGAAAAAAGCAGCACATCACAAACTTCTCTGTCAGCTGGGACAAATTGCTCCTGTTTGACTTGTTTACTGGTTCATTCAGCCTTCATTAGAACTACACAAATTCAGTTCAGTTATTAGTACATAGCTGGGGGCTGAATATTTCTATGCTGTTTTTCTTCTCGCTAACTGACTCTCTGCTGACATCCGTAGATGCATCAGCTGCAGTGGTGGGCGGTCCCGCGTCTCCTCTCGCAGTGCAGGTGTCTGACGTGAACAAGGACTACGTTTTCCTGACTTGGCAGCCGCCCAGCGCTGATGGAGCTTCACCTGTGCAGGGATATTATGTGGAACGGTGAGAATCGCGATGTACCGCTTACTTCAAATATTCCGTTGGGTTCAAATGAATCAGGTAAAAAACAAAGTGAAAGCTGACACTGAAAGTTTATTTCAGACCTCTGAAAACTAGCTGACAGTGTTGGCAAATCAACAGTCCACTGAGCAGGTGTTTATCCTGTTGACATAGAAATGTGCTTCTTTGTGTATTTTAGGATTTCTAGATTTTCACTTTCACTGTTGTTTTGGTTTCTGTTTTGTATTTCTAGCGCTCTAAGTTCTGCAGTATTTCTTGATTTCTAGTTCTCGGGTTTTGTTCCTGTGCCCTTTATGTTCAGTGTAGGTTTAGTCCTGTCTTCATGTTTATTTTCTTGTTCCCCAGTCAGTCGTGTTTCATGTCACTCCTGTCCCTGTGCGCCGTTTTCCCTCTGTTCAGTATCAAGTCCGTGCCCTTGTGCCTGTCGTGTGGTTCCTGTTTTATTTTGATAGTCTTGTGTCCTGTGTTCAGTGTTTGGAGTTTTGCTTCTCATTACGTCTGTTTAGTCCCAGCTGTGTTTCCACCCGTTTCCATCCTCCCGGTTTTCAACCTGTGTATTGTAGTCCTCGCACACACTGAGCAAGTGTGCTGTCACGTTGTACCTTCACTACTCTGTGTGTTTTTCCTCCATGCTCCTTGTAGTTTTTTCAGCTGTTTCCCAGTTTAGTTCCTTAGCTTCCCAGTGTCTTAGTGTTTTGATTTTAGTTCGTATTTCTAGTTCCTCGCTTTAAGGCTTTGTTTTTTGTATGAAGATTCATTTACAGCCAAAATAAAGCTGCCTTCTTTATTTCACTCCTTCATTGTCTGTGAGTCCTGCATTTGGCCGCACAGCAAACCATGGCATCGAGTCACCTTCATGTTTTTTTACATATTGCAAATGCAATGTCAGGGTTTCTTTTTCTTTCTTTTTTTAACCTTGAAACTGTTTTTGTTTTGTTTTTTTCATTGTGTTCATATTGATTTTTACATTAAGTTCCTTCATTAAGTCATTGCTTGGTTGGTGATTTATCATGTCATTTAAGTATTAATTAAAATGACAGCTGATTGTGTCATTTCAACAGGCACTTAATCAACTGATCAACTGTGAGACAATTAGTCTGACTACACTACCTTTTGGACTGTGTGCATGTTTGAATTCAGTAAAACAACGAAAGAAAAGTATTGACGAAAAGATTTCAGGTTTTCATTGCCAGAAATATCCAGCACAGAGATTAGATCTCCTACAGTGAGCTCACGTTGGTTTGGCATTCATTAAAATGCTTATTTTAGATTGAACTCACAGTGATTTCCTGTGCTGCAAGTCAACATGTGACCAACAGTAAGCCTACACTGCTAACCCTTCTGTGTGCTTCCGCTGCTGAGGAATTTGAATTGGACATATTAAGTTGGCAGAGCCCTAATGAGATGGATGGTATACATGGTAATTATCAACCCTCAACTGTGTGTTAACAGCAGACTCAAAGGCTCTCTGAGGAGATCAGCTGCTGGAGCTATCACCAAAATCAATCAGTCAGGATCACCTGAACATGTGTGCTCATATATTTGCATTTGTGCATTTCATGTTCGTTTGTGTATTTTCTTCTTTAGTCACAACACACAGCTCTAAATGCTACTGGTTACTGAACAACGAAACAAAGTGTAGGATACTTCCCAGTTCCCTAGCAACCCCCCCGTCTGGTTAGAAAAGTGGCAACAGTTTGTCATTGATGTCGTACAATTTGAGCCTGGACTTGTACTTAAAAAACATTTTTGTTCTGTTTTTGGAGCCCTGTTATTTTTGCGATGCTCTCTGGTCACAATTATACTCTTCTGTGGTGTACGTACTGGCTGTTGTGTGGGATAAAGTGTTTCAGAATTGGTGTTATAATATTGTACCCCGCAGACTGCACCTAGTGTTGTTCAAACACAATGGGTTAGTTCTTTGTTTTTCTTGTACAATTTTTTTTTCTTTATTACTGTATTTTCAGGACTGACTTCTCCCTTGCACCGTGTCTCCTTTTCAGATGTGACCTCGGCCAGGGTGAGTGGGTGCGCTGCAATGTGGATGTTCAAAAGATTTGCCATTACCCAGTGTTCGGGCTGAAGGAAGGAACTCTGTACCAGTTCAGAGTACGTAGTGTGAACCAGGCCGGTGCAGGGCGCCCCTCCAAAGCCAC